CCCTGCTCATGGCAGGGGGGGTGGAACTAGATGGTCTTTAAGGTCTCCTTCAACCCAAACCACTCCATGATTCTATGATCTGTCTCTCTATGAGCCCCCCCTTGTCACCTCTGCACTACATGAACTGCCTGCTGGCAGGTAGAGAGAAGTGTTCCACACAGCGGGAGTGATTATAGACACCTCACTACTTCTCTGGTGGAGGACAGTATTCCCACAGAAGGTCCACCTGAACAGCACGCTCCTAATCTACCCCAGGACAGCAACTGACAAAAGCATTTTGTGCTAGCTGAGATGGTTTTGCACTGAATAGACCAGGAAGGACTGGCACGCTATTTTGTCAACCAAGTTGCAGAGACAGTATGGTAGAAGTCAGTAACAGCTTAGACAGACAGACACAGATAGACCAAGGCAAGCACATCAGCCACTGATGAATGCAGTCACTGGAAATTATTTCAGATGTTTTAATAATTCTCCAATTACAGTGACTTACATGGGTCAGTTGTCCCAATACAGTTTTCTATTTAGGCACAGCTCTTCAGTAATAAAATTGTACACGAGACTTGCATCACTACATACAGCCAGTAACAATGCTAAGTTTTCTGCCTCAGACTGTAATGACCTGGTAAACTTAGCTCAGAATTGGCAGTATCTTTGCAAGATATCACTATGCTTGCATAACCAGTATAATAAAATTCTATTCACTCTGTCAGTAGGTGACTTTTTACTGATTACTTCTGGACATTACTTTCAAGCATGATATGACTGTAAGTTGACCACACCATAAGAAAACAGCCCAAGAGTGCTGTCAGAGGATCATGCTGTTCTTGGCACAGAAGCACAATAGGGCTAAATCTAAGATCTTTCCTCAGACCACAAGAGACTATGAGGTTACATAGCTTTCCCATATTAATTCCAGTCACCTGTGAGTTGTTTTAAAGAATGCACTGAATTAACATACTTCAAACATTTAAAATAATCACTACGGTTTAATTACAGCAGCAGCTTTTAATGTTTAGTATCAAAAAGACTGTTCATATTATCAAATAAATATTAGTATTTACTTGTTCCCTTTATGATAATCTCCAATAACATCATGTCTTATCAGACAAGTTTACAACAGCAATTTACTGAAAACAGGGCAGATGCAGCAGTTTTCTTACACAGGTATACACAGCCTTTGCAGTTCTGTACTGCAGGTTCCTCCTGTCACCACAAAGGGGAGGAAAAATATTTTCTTCCTAAATACATGCACGGAAAAGATTAAAATCCTATAGGAACAGCAAGGTTAAAATATGTAATGTGAATATAATGCAATACTACATTACAATGCAATAAAATAAATTCATTTATGCAATAAACCCATTCATTTCCTTCCGGTTCACTGAAGTTATAAAACATAACCAGTTACCTAAAATCTCTTCTGACCTATGACCTCAGTTTGGTCTGGTTACAATGGGTGAAGATAAAAAAAAAAAATTCAGATTTTCAGCTGTCTGAGTTCTGATTCCAAGAAAAAAAACCTAGGCAGATCATCTAGGCTCCTCAAAGCATTTTTCCTGGCTGTACTGCTAAGAATTCAAGGCTCCACTGAATAGATCAAGTGTGTTAAAGGTTTCTGGGATGAGAATACTCCAGTGCAAAGGACACTTCAATGCACTAAAATTCAGTATTCACGTAATCTCAATTAGCATCTGAGAAGAACAGTCTGTTCTTTCAAAGACCAACACGCTAAAAACTTTCAGAAGATTATGGCTTAATAAATTTCTTGACTGCAGCTAAAGCAGTAGCAGCAGCAACCCAATACTATACAGCACTCTGCACTCCTCTTTCATTGCAAGACCTCTTCACCGGGGAATACTACACTGGATTTTGAATTATTTATGACCCTGCTTAGTACTGCTTTAACATAGGTTGAGAGCTTACCACTGCTTTCTTCCACGTTCATTACTGCTGCTTATCTGTCAGTGTGCTCTGTTCAGTGCCTGAGCTGTGCTTGTTCTTAAGGGAGCTTCCGATATATCTCCAGTACTCCCTTCGGATGGTGTCTTTTTCTTTAGCCAGAATTTCACACAACTATTGAAGAAAATTGAGAGATTGGAATGTTATACCAAAAACTTATGGACTCCTTAATTAATGTTATAAAATGTGTACACTATATGGTTCAACCAATATTTGAAACAGCTCTCCTAGCATTCACTGGATTTGCAGCTGCCCAATGACCTCAGACTGATGGCAACACCCAAATGGTAGTCAACCAATCCGGCATTGCACAAAAATCTCTCCAGTCCTATTTAATTTAAAACTGCTTCTCTGTGACTCCTTTCCATGCCTACCATTGTCACCTATCCTGGCCTATTCAGCCTGTAGCATACTACAGTATACTTGTGACTTGCTGACAGGCTTGACTATGATCCAGTAGGCTGTAAAGCACGTATTTCAAAACAGTGGGGGAACATCCTACTCTGGAATCTTCATTACTCCTGATTCTCTGCTGACAGAAGATACTTTGTTTATGGTTTCTCTCTTAGGAGACTGTCCCAAAAGTATTTTCCATGCAAGTCAGTAACCTTCTCTCACATGTTACAGCTGGTGCTACACAGATACTTCTACATGTTCCGATTTTTGTTTTATTTTTATCTGGGTGAGCAGTGAGGTGCAGCAGAAGTCAACCCTACTCACAGGACAGCCTATGTAAAATTTGTATGGTATGAACACTGTCGACAAATGTTCTGTTCAATTCCCTTTTATTATGCCAACGACATTGCCTTACAGTGAACCAGAATTGAGAAATAGGAGCTTTGACGACTAAAGAGATGAAGAATTCAAACTCAGTGAAACAGAACAAAGGGACATGAATCTGGGAGGTACAGCTGCATTTATTTATACTCTGGTTCTGGACCAATAAAGGAAAAATGTTGAGAAAGAATGATGTTGGAATACAGAAGCTCCAGGCAAAAACTGCAGCTCTAATTACACTGAGTTCCAGTCCATCCCACAGTGAATGAAAAGCGTTTTTGCAAAAACCATTCTGCAAACCATAGCAAGAAGTTCCCTGAATATGAAGCACAGGGAGACACACAACCTTGCTACTAGTTATTTATGTAGGAAGCGCGTGCCTGACATTCCTTACTGATATCCCCATTGCCTGCTGGCCTTTAAGCTAATGCTGCCAGCTTTCTTAGGGAGAGCTAAGAAGTGCCAAGGGAGTTTGAGATACTGTTTAGATACAGATACTCTGAGAACAAGGTTCACTAACCTACAGAGAACTCCATGCTACAAACTTAGCATTGGAAACTCCTTGATTGTTCAAACATTTCTTTTGCAGGCAATATTAGAAAATTTCCTTTACTACCAGGTGAAAAAAACCTTACAGTGATTTTGTAACCGTCAAATTATTATTTACAGATAAATACATAAGACCCTTGTGACTACCTGGCTTTCATGTTCAACTCTTCATAGAGCTCCTATGATTAACAAGTAACCTGTTCCACCTATGAAAATCAATCCCGTTTTGCTGGAATATAAAAAAAGAGAGCAACAGATGGCATCCCTAAGAAGTAACAACAAGCTCTCAAACATACCTCCAATGCCTTGTTTAGTGTCTCTTCCTTGCTATCACACTGGTTTTCAAGCATATCTTCATATATGTCCAAGAGAAAGGCAATCAGATAGGGTGAACTGTGGCTGTGCTGTAAATTAAGCAGTTGCTCTAACAGGTTTGGATACTCAGAAAGACCACGATCCTGTAGAATCCTAGAACAGAGGTTAATAGGCTTGAAACATAACACCAGGAAATCTGATGTGAAGAATTATATTTTTGTTACGACTACGTTACTTGGAGATTGGTTTTGAAATAAGAGTGCAAGTACAAGGAAGCCAGAATGCGAGCAGCATGCAGCAATAATACAGTTTAATGCTGCAGTAAGCTAGCGTAGCTATTCTCAACCGAACAGAAATAAGACAATGCATGCTCATTACTCTATGCTCGGGAACCCAGTATCATTACAGGTCAAGTTTTTAAAAGCATGAGAAGTACTTGCAATCCTCATACAAGAACTACAGGGCCAGAAATCTAGCGGAAAGTTACAGAGAAATTAGGTATATTAACCCCTTTTGGAGGTTTTTGCCTGCCTGCTTAAGCACACAACGCTAGAATGAACAGCAACAAGCTCTTTCCAGGTAAGAGCTAGGCATAATACACCTTCCACAGATATTCTCTTTGCCCCATAGAGGATGCCTCACCCTTTTAAATAGTTCCAAGCACTCTCATTATGTGGCACTGCTGTGATCATCTCAAGAGTGTATCTGTGAGAAAAAGAAAACAGGTCATGAATGTAATCACTAACAATGCAGTTGGAAACTATCTGAATATGCTCAGACGCTCCCAAATACATCTTTACAGTTCATATTTCAGAACCTTTTTGCAGATCATCTCAGCTGAGTCATAGATCAAAAATGTCTCACAATATAATCACTACAAGTCTCAGAGAGGCAGACATTGTGAGAACAGTTTCAAATTTTGTAGTGTTCCATTTGCTGCATTTTAGACACAGTGAAAGAGTTCTCAAAAATATGAGCAATAACATGAAGAAACATGATACACTCTCCCAGTATGCTAAAGGAATAACTTGTGTCTTGATGCTCAGAAACAACAAAGGGTGGAAAAGGGCTGGAGTAATCGAAGCCCAGGGTGAGGTATGTTAATATGACTGTATGTGGTATGTTCTGTTCATATCTGCAGAACTTTTTTCAAGAGGCTGCACTGGAGCAAAGCCACAGAAATGCAGGGTTTGAGCTTTCAGCTCACACAGCCTTCCGCAGCAGTTCTCTTAAAAGTAGCAGTTTGGCAATCCTTCTACAAGGAAAGCAACAAGAAGCACCTGCCACACACTCGCGAAGCCACATTTCATCTTCACAAAACAGACTTCACCTTCTGCTCTTCCCCAGAATAACCAGGGGTTCAGCTGATCTTCAGAGATAGCAGGTACTGATCAAACATTCTATAAGCGGTATTGAGAATAAAAAAACCCAACACAAACCAATCCTAAACCTTTTTTAACCTTCTGCAGTCTCTGTGACAAAGACCGAGCTTATCAAGCAACAGGCAGCTCAGCTACAGTACTATAATGACATCTGAGAAATCTTAACCTTCAGTGTGATTCTTAAGATCGTATCAAATAATCTCGAACACAGTACCATGAATAAACAGACCAATGGAGAATGTCGCATCTAACCTCTGGAGAGAAAATCGCTGGAAATACCCAAGACTAAGTCATGGAAATGGTGCGGATTTATTAATCTGCAGGAAAGTTATAAACTGGAAGCGAAGTACAACTTACTGCAGTTTGCAAAGACAACCATGGAAGATGGTGGTGACTGTGATCCTCTATGAACAATGCACCAATGGACCTATATAGAGACTCAGTCTCTGTATCAGTCTAAGGAAGAGAGATTCATGAGAACAGCTTGCCTGGAGTATGCATAGCTTGCTTCAGTACTGCTCAACAACTCAGTGGTACTGAACACATACACTAACACCTGATACAAAACAGTGAGCCCAAAAGCTGCATTAAAATAGGCAAGACAGTCCCACAAGGATTGTCAAAGTATTCCTTTGCTTTCACTTAGTCGAGAAAGCTTAATGTAAGCATGAACAGCATTACTAACTGGACTTCTCTGTCTAGGACTGCTGGATCATCATAGCCGGTGGTGTTGAAAATTACAAAGTATCGTTGGTTCCAAACAGAGTTGTTTCTCACATCTTCCCTCAAAAGCTGGTCTACATATTCCAGTTCCTTGTCCCATAATTTGAACTCCTGTGGAAAGTGAAGGAAGAGACAATATCACCATCTTTTTTTTTTTTTTAAATACATTCTCCTTGCTCCTAAGTTCTCTGAATATTAGGTAGAGACTTTTTTTAAAAAGAAATCAACACGAAGTTCAAAGAAAAATAAGGAGGGGTGCACTAGGAACATGTTACACTACTCTGTTGCACACAATGGTATCAACTCATCATTAAATTCACACACATAACAGTAAGCAGCCACCAACAGACCTTTTTGAACTTTCTTCCTAATAGGCAAGTTTACAGTTAACTTCTAACAGACATTAAAATGCAATTGTTTTTCCCCCTTCAGCCTTAAGAAACAAAGTGCCAAATGCAATTCAGACTGTATTTAAGAAGCAAAACTCTACACCTGAGCAGGTTATTAAGTGAATCCAGAGTTTTGTGTATACAATACCTTAATAACCCACTGCCTGTGTTGCCATGCATGGTAATTTTTGGCATCTTGGTTAAGAATGCCAGCTATGAACTCAAGCTCTTGGGATGGATCCTGCAGCCACTCCACCAACACCCGCCTGTGATGCCTAATGACAAGAGAAGGAGACTATTTTTATAATATCTGAAATGTTTTTGCGCATGTGTGGTCTGCATTAAACCATTATACAGCAACTGTACTACTTCGGGAAAAAAAAAACCCACTAGTTAAATACTTCAAATTAAATACACCAAAACATTTGACTTGGCTCTGAGAAATATATGATGCAGACTTACACTACAACAAATTATCACGACACATAGATGTTGGCCAATGTTTCTACTTCTAACACTCATGGCCAAAGTCTTCAGAAGAATAACATCTTCTAGTACTACATGACTTCTCTAGCAATAACGATGCTGCTGTTTTGTCTATTCCCATTCACTTTGGAAAACCCCAACAACAGGTGAACAAACTCCACAGGCCAATAAAAAGAAAAATACTCCTTTCTATTTGTTTGCCTTTTCCCAAGTGATTTTTTTGATGTCAGACTTATTTTGACAGTTTTAAATTTAAAATTAAAAGAACAGAAGACCTTTTTATCATGTCATAATCATGTTTAGAACAATTGTAGAGAGGACTTTGGCAGTGATAATGATGCAACTCTATTTATCTCCTCCACTGCTGCCACTGCAGTAGATGCAGGAAGCAACTCTTACCAATGTCTAGGACCAATTGTCACAATTCTAGACAATTTACAAAACAAAATTATCTGAAAAAACATCAGGAACTGAAAAGAAAACATGATTTTACCAGACTTGGTAGTTCTTTGGCTGATCTTCAATGATAGCTGTAATATACTTAAGTTCCTCATGGAGATCCTTTCCCAAAGACTGCAGGAGGACTCTCCGGAAATACCTGTATGAAAGTCAAGCATTTGAACAGGGCTTTCCTAAAAGTCACAGAGGAGAACACAGAAGAACCTTTGCCTACTGTTCCTCTAATAGAAACTGAGTTAAAAAGAATGCAAAATACTAACCTATGTATCCCGATTTGTTAAAGGCCGTTCAATTATCAGTCAGTGGAGAAACAGAATGCAACTGGTTGAAACAGTATGTTATCTAAGATTGCAGCAATTCTCTCTCAAATTAACCTCTGTCTACCCAAACTAGTCTTATAATCACAGAAACTATAACTTACATGCTTAAAATAATGCCAGCTTTCTGGTTGTATGTCAGTTAGTGGAATAAAGACATACAAGAGGTACTTGTTGGCATTCACAAGTTAAAAGGCCCTACTCTGAATATCAGAAATTCACTGTTTAGTCATTACCCAACTGAACATTAACCCGACAGATCTTCTAAAATGCAATATTTAGTAAGCATACAATTATTTAGCAGGAAATATGAGCTATCATGCTTTTATGTCTCTTCTTCAGCATCAGAGGGCATCTTCAGCATTTTGCCAAGGCCACATTATCACTTAAGTGACCAAATTTTAAACAGCAAAGTTCTTCTTGTGGCTAATCCTGACACTGACTAACAATATCCTCAAATGCAAATGAATGAAAACGACCAAATCAAAACGAGACGCAGAAAATACTGAACAAAGGCTTTCTTCAGAAGCTCAGTGCAAGTCTACACTACTCCTCTATGTAAACTCAACCAGTCATGCCCTGATTAGACTAACAAAATTATTAAAGACTGAAAAGGCCAGCAATCAAACAATCCAAAGATTATCACTTACCATACTGTGTAGTTTGCAGCATTTAACTCAATGGCATCTGCTGTCAGATTGAAAGCTCTTTCGCTTCTCTCATCCCGCTGCAGAACAGCCCGGAAGTAATCATAGACATCTTGAACTAAACAGATAACAGCATCTTATCCAAGGCTATGAGACAATGACTTGATTAGGTGGTAAGGTTAATAATCCTTTGAAATTATTTCCTATTTTGTGTACCTTAAATACATCCCTTTAAAATGACAGCTATATATTGCTCTGACAGCAATGCTGATTGAAACCTCTGAATATTAGTACACCCAAAAGCTGCAAAAATATCTGAAGAATACACCATCTGAATAATATCCAAAACATTCAGAAAAGTTTCTTGCTTCTTACTTACGCTATTTCCCCGGATGCAGTAGCTTTGTACGCTTACTCTTCCACTTGTGGGCTAGAAATGCCTTATTATGTGAACCAGACTGTCTGTTGTATTACCTCTTTAAGCCAGGATTTTAAAATAAAACCTTGGGTATTAACATCTCAGGTGAAGCCTCAACTTCAGAGATGCCTGGTGAAAACATCACACACAACCACCATAACACAATAAATATTAATTTCTTCACGGTGCTACTCCAGAATGTGTTATCCAAAACGTGAAGTCCTGCTTTAACATTGTTAAGGACAGATACAAATTTAACCACCTCAAATTTTCAGTGCAGAACATATTTAAAACTTACATTTTTCACTGTAGATGATCTGAACAACAGGATTTGGCCCATCATTTTGAGGGATGGGTTCAATATCTGCCCATTCACTCCTGTCCCTGTAAATACATGTTTTTGCCTTTTCAATGCTTCTGAAAAGCACAGAATACTACTCAAACCACTACGTTCACAAACCCATGTCCAGCAACATATCCTTATTCCCACTTGTCTATAATATTGTCACTGTATTAATGTCTATACCATAGACTAGGATATAACAAATAAAGGAGGCAGAATCACACAATCACAGAACAGTTTGGGTTGGAAGGAACCTTAATGATCACCTAGTTCCAAGCCCCCTGCCACAGGCAGGGACACCTTCCACCAGGTCGGGTTGCTCCAAGCCTCATCCAGCCTGGCCTTGAACACTTCCAGGGATGGGGCATCCACAGCTTCTCTGGGCAACCTGTTCAGTGTTCTTA